CATACTGCATGAACCCATTTATAGATAGCTAAGATGACAGGTGAAACCATACTATGGTGTGAACTATCAGGATACTGATTACATTCATAGAGGCATGAGCACAGTGTCTTCTGGGATGCTGATAATGTGGTATTTCTTAATCTGGGTAGTGGATACATCTTGTGAGAACTGTTACACTAATGATTTGTGCACTTTTCTCTTTGTATTTTGCACTTTAATAAAAAGTGTTTTTCTTTGATTTGCATGTTTTTTAAACTTTAAAAAAGTTTAAAACTTTACATCTCTTATTAATGTTCAATCTGGTACACGACTTATATTGTTTTACAAAGCTCTCTACTACATATTATTAGACCTTGAGTTATCTTTTTTTTATATTTAAAGAAAAATAATCCGGGCGCGGTGGCTCAAGCCTGTAATCCCAGCACTTTGGGAGGCTGAGGCGGGTGGATCACGAGGTCAAAAGATCGAGACCATCCTGGTCAACACGGTGAAACCCCATCTCTACTAAAAATACAAAAAATTAGCTGGGCATGGTGGCATGTGCCTGTAATCCCAGCTACTCAGGAGGCTGAGGCAGGAGAATTGCCTGAACCCAAGAGGCGGAGGTTGCGGTGAGCCGAGATTGCGCCCTTGGCCTCCAGGCTTGGGAAAAAGAGCCAAAACCCCTTTCAAAAAAAAAAAAAAAAAAGAAAAATACCTGGCTGGACGCAGTGGCTCACGCCTGTAATCCCAGAACTTGGGAGGCTGAGGCAGGTAGATCACTTCAGGTCGGGAGTTCGAGACCAGCCTGGACAACATGGTGAAACTCCATCTCCACTAAAAATACAAAAGTTAGCTGGGTGTGGTGGCAGGTGCCTGTAATTCCAGCTACTCAGGAGGCTGAGGCAGGAGAATCACTTGACTCTGGGAGGCAGAGGTTGCAGTGAGCTGAGATTGTGCCACTGTACTATAGCCTAGGTGACAGAGTGAGACTCCAGCTCAAAAAAAAAGATAAGAAAAAAGAAAAATACAATACATGGGGAGTTCTAAGCACAGAAAAATAAACTAAGGCTTATTTTTCAATTTATTCAAATGAAACCAAAGAGGGGCTTGCTGTGGTTAACTATACCAGAGTCTCTCTCAAAGGAAAGATTTAATTCTGGTGTATGTTTAGGAAGCTGGTACGCTCTCACTTCTCAGTTAAGACTCTCCCAAGACTCTTTTCTCTGACTACACATGAGCCCCCAAACCATGACTAAAACACCATGGCTTCATGGGCAGAGCCCTGTGCAGGACACCCTATTTCCAAATGAACAAGAAATGAAAGTGAGATAAAAAATTATTTTAAAGCTAAAAGTTTCACATTATTTAATGCAAGCTAACTCTCAGGAGGAAAGTAGCAATGAGAAAAAGGAAAGGAACGAAGACATCACGGAGATGCACATCAAACCGGAAGCAGACAAAGGCGGCCAGAACTATCTTATTTATTATAAAGATACACTGCGAAGAACAAACCTGACTGTATACTGAAGCCTGTAATGGTACATGCCAAAATGTACAGTACTATACATAAAAGTGCATTGTCACAACAGATTAACAAAACATTTTTTCTTCTTTCCAGAACTGTAAAAGCATCCCCCTTTATTTTCACCTCGGCGAGGAGGGAATGAAATGGTGAGAGGCAGTACAGAGCACGATGCTGTCAGCAGCATGTGAGTGGGGACGGATGCAGAGGGATGGGAGGACACAGGGGTGAGAAAGGCACAATCACGTCTACAAGGAAAACGAGACAGTCTGAGGACCGACAGGGCTGCGAGATGGACACTACTGAGCACCCAGGCACAGGACGGCGGGGATGGAGAAGAAGGTGGGGGAGAGGGCGGAAGCTTCAAAACACTGGAGTGGCAGCAGAAATTGGGAGGAGGAGGTCGGGGTGGGGCACAGAGCTGGGCAACAGTACAAGAGCAAGGCTAAAACTCCTCTAAGATAGAAAGGCACTTTCACATGTACATACTACAGATGTACATTGACACAATTAGGTAACAGTCACAAGCAGGAAGCTACCGGTACTGCAATTGATCAAACCGACAGGAAAGGACAATACTGATTTAATTATGTGGGCAGGAGTTACCCTTCAGTACCCAGGTAAACAGCAGTCTCTCCTGTTACACAGCCACTTACTCTACTTTAAATATCTATAATAACCATCACTACACACTGAACTTGGATGAATGCTCTAAAGGGGGCATTCACAAATACACAGTTCATACATTTTCTTTTACTAAAGTTTCTAAGATAAGCATTATGGAACCCAATACAATTATTTAAACATACGAAATTCCCTACGCAATTTAAAGACATATTTATCCATCTTGATTATACCACATACTTTTTTTTTTTTTTTTTTAAAGAACGTATACTAGGGTGAGTGAAAGGTCAAATTCCAGTTTGCTTTGCTTTATGGATGTGACAAAACTTTGCCGAAGTCACCCTGCACCAAGGTGACACTCCAGCCCAGCTGGAGCTTGTGTTCTCAGCTCGGGAGGTGGGTGGCAGATGGTCTGGAGTAGGAAGCTCTATGTAGGCATGGGCAGCACCTTCAGTTCTAGGCGGCTCTGTGTCTCAGGGTTTCTGTGGTGGGTAATTGAAAACAAGACTGAGTCCCAAGCACATTTCCTGCACGTGTGGCCTCTCACGGCTATGGTCAGGAATCAATGAGCATCATCCCAAGTCTGAATCCTCTAACCCCCTTCAAGAGACCCATAGACTCTTTAACTTTGGAGTTCCAAGGCTGCTGAGATGAAGGTTTCTCAGTGTGTAGACTCCAGAGCTATGTCATTCCTAAAGGTTAAGGACACCACTACCAACCCACTCCCCTTTTCCTTTCTTTGATTAAATTATAAATCCATTTTTTTTTTGGGGGGGTGAATGGCAAAAGTTAGAAAACCCTTAATTGATACCGTTTGACTCTTGAAGCTCTATATCCACTGATAAGTGTTCACGGTCACTGCAGCAGATTGTGGGACTCTGTGATAAATTATTCTTTGGGTGGCTTGAGGGGCACCAAAGCCAGATTATGTTGTATGAAGATGTGCAAAGCTGTTGAATGGTGTTGACACTGAACATCATGGAGCTCTACAAAGTGCCACTCAGCAGGTTCTAACAGTTCACATAACAGCCATTAGTAAATGTGTACTAAGTACGTTTCTCTCTATCCCAAAAGCCACTCCCCAAACCCCAACCCAGTCCAAAAGGCTGACTTGGTGAATCTCTTTCAGTGAGTTCTGTGGATTGGATGTGAACACACAGTTCTATCAGCTGTGAATACATATTCTTGTGTAAGTGGAGTCAGATAATCTTTGTAGAACCATCATTTACCCACCATCAAAATGACCCCCTCCCCAACTTGCACATGAATCCCGATAAGCTCCTTGAAACTGGGGGTGGAACACCTCAAGGCCTCATTTTCCTTCTCTCTTCTTTCCCTGTAGCTTCCCACCTCCCCTGAGTGCTGCCTCTGTGGCTATGAAGAAGGCTGTGTACCAGGTGAAGCTTCTCAGCTGCAGTGGCTCTTACTGAGCTTACTGAGCATGGCTCTGGATTCTTTGTGAAGTGGCCACCTTGTCTTACCTCTGGAATCTGAAGACATTTACTAAACCAAACGAGGAGAGGTGAGTCTTTACTGAGTCCTCACTCACTCTGAGGTTATATCCTTCACTTGGAATTGAAAAAAAAAAAAGCCTCAAGGTGACAATAGGAGTATAGGGAAATAAGATGAAGACAGGTAAAGTGAGTGGGTGATGGGAGAGTATTAGGAGCTGTTCCCTGAAAGAAGGCATAGCCTCTGAGGCTCTGCAGCAGCACAACCTCCGTAGCCAAGATAGCAGAGTCCTGATGGGGAGCACAGAAAGGCAATCCTCATTTCTTCATGGGTGGACACACCAGAGAGTAGCCGTGGCAGAGGATGACCAGATAGAAGGCTGAATAAATGCGCAGGCAGGCAGAAGACCTGAAAAGCTAAGGCTGGAGCTCATAAAAGACACTGAAAACGATAAATTCAGACACCTCTGCCCCCTTGATGCCCTTTGTTAACATCTTACTCTTCCATCAAACAAGGAATATGGTTTTTAAGAATTTTTACTATTTTAAAGAAGTGGGGGAACGGCCCGGCATGGTGGCTCACACATGTAATCCCAGCACTTTGGGAGGCCAAGGCAGGTGGATTGCCTGAAGTCAGGAGTTCAAGGCCAGCCTGGCCAACATGGTGAAACCCTGTCTCTAGCTGGGCATGGTCGCAGCGCCTGTAATCCCAGCTACTCAGGAGGCTGAGACAGGAGAATTTCTTGAACCCAGGAGGCACAGGTAGCAGTGAAATGAAATTGCACCACTGTACTCCAGCCTCGGGGACAGAGTGAGACTCTGCCTAAAAAAAAAACAACAGTGGGGGATTATTTAGGAAAGTTTAAACTTCCTAAGGAGGATTGTTTAAAGGGGACAGAGCTATTCAAAGCTCAGTCCTGGCTGGGTCACGGTGTCCAAAGGTGCTGAAGGACCCCGAAAGCTCAGGAGAAATGGGGAGGGGCTGGACAAGGTGCTAACCTGGGCAATTTTTTCAAAATGAGTAAAAAGGATAGCTCTGAAAGTTCAGAGTTTTAAAAGTTTATCGTATCTAGAAATACATGGGAAAAAACAACTATTCAATTCATTTGTGGAATTAGGCTATAGGCAAGCAACCAGCAGTGTGACTTTGAAAGGTAACAATAGCTCATCAATTTAATCTCTTCCTGCAATAGAATGACTAGATTGGCTAACTGAGGTAGAGATCAAAGTAATGATCTGGTTTTTAGTACAGATCCTGATTCACTTCTCCTCTGCAGTCACCCATGGGCCAACGAAGTAAAATCTACACTGTGTAACTCTTAGGTGTGTGTGCAATTGGCTGCCAGTTTGAAGCAAAATCAAGAAGGAAATTAACGGTGGGCCAGAGGGATTAGTTCTGGGAAATACATTTTTCTCAACAACAACAACAACAACTAAAACCTTTATCAGTAACTTCAGTGATAGAGTAGATAAAATGCTCATAGGTCTACAGGTGACATCAGCTGCTGCTGGTAGGAGAATGGAATTCAAAGCAAATTTTCTTAAAATGGGGGACAATATAGCGTAAATATGGGCTTAAAAAAATTGTCTGCTAGGATGCCAGAGAAAGAGGGTCCCTAACTGAGAGTTCAGTTGATTATAGGAGTTATATAGAAACCACGTACAAAAACAAAAAACAAAACAACAAAAGGGAAACGAGAAAGAAAGGGAAGTCGTGGTTCTGAGGTACACAACTGCGTGAGAACCACAAGGTAATCTCCTGCTGAGAGCCCTGTGTGGCTCTTACGCAGAGCCAGTTTGGGGTTGGCTCAAAGACAAATGGAGAGGACAGTTGGGATTTCAAATTTAGGATCATCAGGCCTTCGTAGCTTTTGTTTTTTGAAGACACAGGGACTCACTATGCTGCCCAGGCTGGACTCAAACTGCTAGGCTCAAAGCCGTCCTCCTGTGTAAACCACCTGGGTAGCTGGGACTACAGGTGTACTACCACGCCCGGGATTTGCAGCATGTTTAAAGGAACCTAGGTGATTCAGTCAAAAGAGAACACTGCATGAACCAAGGCCTCAGGTACTTCTTGCTTTCATTTCCTCAGAGGAGAACACAGGGATTTAGGGGAGATAGAAACATTTTCTAGGCAGTTACTGAACAACAGATCTTTGGAGGAGTTTGTGGAGTAGTGTAACTGAAAGTCTTTAAAATCAAATCCTTTTAGTCATAAGTGTAGGGGAGGGACTTGGAAATCTCCGGGGCCTAATCATGTTTGCAACAGGAGTGACATTAATAGTTTTGGAGATGGTGTCTTCCCCTCCTTTCCCAGGTTAAGTTCGTGCAGTAACAGCAGAGGTTCTACCCGCTTCCACTGAGTCTTTAAGCTGGACCCGGGGAAATGACTGTTAGGAAAGAGGCAAGCATCCAACCCACTCGAGCTGTGGGCTGACAGTCCCACTGGGATCGTCCCATGCAGACAACTGCAAGTCTTCTGCATGAGCTCAATCCCGCTCCACATGGAATCGAAGGTGCTCATTGTCAGCTACCACACAATGCCATTATCACCTTTCAGCCATTACCCCAAGTGTCACAGACCAACACTGGCTATCCTCCAATGAGGTGTGGAATTCGGGTTCTTCTGCCCTCAGGTCCCAACATTTCTGACTCACCTGGGCTACACTAAACCTGAAGCACTGTACAATGTGGAGAGCGGTGTTGCCTTCATTACAAGTGGTGCAGCATTGGATTTTCAAGTAAGTCTAAGTGTTTCTATTGTCCTTAAAATGACATATGTCCAGTTATTTTAAAAAATTACAAAATACAAATGCCCGTGTTAATTTAGCTAGTCTCAGACATTACATTCGACAACATAGAAAAGCCAAAAGATCTCCAGTTATAAGCACAAAACTAAGGAAAGTTAGGGATCAGTGACTTCTGTCACCAATTCGTTTTCTTTTTTAAGTCACCTCCCTTCATGGCCTTGCTCAGCTGGTTTTTACATTGTGCAAGACTTGTCTGTTGGACCCTGGGAAGGTGGGGCAGGTCCTACGGTAGGATTTGTTTTTGGAAGAACAGCAGGTTTTGGCCGAAGGGCTGGAGGCTTCAGCTGCACACCCATTCTGGGTGCCACCATAGGCTTGAAAGTACTCATTGTGTCACTGGAGGAGCTAGTGCTACGTCGAATCTGAGGCTCAGAGCTCCTGAGGGCAACGTTGTGCAAAGGGCTGAGAGATTCCGTGGAGGTGGCAGGGGTGGGAGAGTTTTTCACTTGTTCCAGGGTATCCAGCACTACATCAGGGGCATGCTTCGCTGTGCTCTGTCTCTCCAGTTCTCGGAGTTCATTCAAAGCTGTGTTCATCGTTTCTTCAATATCCTATTGAAGAATAATCAGAAAGACAAAAAGCATAGACTGATAATGAATATTAATGTATAGAAACCCAGACACTTAATTTCAAAGTAAACAGCCCAGCAGAGAGTATATTTTAACTCCATAGTCTGCAGAATATATAAACCTAACGCCATCTCACACAATTATTTTGATTCTTGATTCAGGAGACGGAGATACAACGGCTCATGGAGCCATGCGTCAAACATTGGGCTTCCTAAGGCCCTAGGTAGCCTTCTAATTGTCTCTGCCTTGCAGGCTGACTTAAAAAGAAATTTTTTTTTTGAGGCAGGGTCTCACTTTGTCAGCCAGGCAGAGTGCAGTGGTGTGAATAGGCTTACTGTAGCCTCAAACTCCTAGGCTCATGTGATCCTCCCACCTCAGCCTCTTGAGTAGCTGGGACTGCAGGTGTGTGGTACCACACCTGGGTAATTTTTAAACTTTTTGTGGAGATGGGGTCTTGCTAGTTGCTCAGGTTGGTCTTGAACTCTTGGGCTCAAGTAACCTTCCTGCCTCCGCCTCCTGAAGTGCTGGGATTATAGGTGTAAGCCACCATGACTGCATGCTGACTTCTTATATAGAATTCTATTTCAATTTATGATAAAAGTTTATGAAAACTTTTGAAAAGTTTTTCAACTTTTTTTTTCCCCTGAGACAGGGTCTTGCTCTGTCACCCAGGCTAGAGTACAGTGGTGCAATCTCGGCTCACTGCAACCTCTGTTTCCCGGGTTCAAGCAATTCTCCTGCCTCAGCCTCCCAAGTAGTTGGGATTACAGGTGCCTGCCACCACGCCTGGCTAATTTTGTATTTTTAGTAGAGACGGGGTTTCACCATGTTGGCCAGGCTGGTCTCGAACTCCTGACCTCATGATCTGCCCACCTTGGCCTCCCAAAGTGTTGGGATTACAGGCATGAGTCACCACACCTGGCCAAGTTTCTCAGTTTTTATGATAAAAGCTTAAATTTAGATACTGTAATTATTTCTCAAGAAATAATAGGAATAAAAAATCGGCTTCATTTATTCATTCAACAAATTTTTGTGCACTTACTATACACTTGGCTAATTCCAAGAAGTTCTTGGAAATTCAGCTTAAGTCTTCCCCAATACAGTTTTCCAGTGGATTTCAATGAAAGTGGTACTGTCTCATAAAGGGCATTTTTGTAATATGGTGTATGGTGTGATTTTTAATGTCACAGTAACAAGGCTGCATTATCAGAAGTTGGTGGGCAGGGCCAGACACATTAGGTATCTTGCAAGTGCCTTGGTGAGTTTACATGCAATGAATTTTTCTGCATCTTGTTCAACAACTTTTGAATATCCTCCAGACATTTATATAGATGAAAATTCTGTTCTTAATAACCTGAGTCTAGAACCTAACTCTTTTTCTAATATATAAACACAAAATATTTTTGATGGCGTTAAATTTTTTAGGAATGTTATTCTTTGTTTTAGGAAAGTTATTTTGTGTTTTGATTGGAACAGTATGACCAAGGGTTATTCACCATTTTGGAGAAATGCAGCACCATTGGATACTCTTTTCATGGAATTTGAGTTAACTCAATTAATACTCCTATATCAACATGTATTTTTAATTATTGCATTTATGGAAACTACCATGTAGGCAAAAGCATTTCACTACTTCACTACTTCATTTGTCTTCTAGTGTAGTCAATAATTAACTGCAGTACATTTAATTAATATCAATTTCCCTTTATTTTACTTTTATATTCTATTTAGAGCTTTATATATGTTTTTCAAAATAGATATATTATCAATTAATTTATTTCAGATGGACAGGCGTGGTGGCACATGAACAAGTCCTCGCAGGGCTGAGGCAGGAGAATCACTTGAACCCAGCAGGCAGAGGTTGCAGTGAGCCAAGATGGCACCACTGCATGCCAGCCTGGGCGACAGTGTCTCAAAAAAAAAATGGTCAATTTATTTCAGATATTAAAAGGGGGGTGGGGGGGAGTGTGCCCCATTAATGAAAGATAAACAAAGTACATACAAAGGAATATCATTCAGCCTTAAAGAGGAAGTAAGTCCTATCACATGCTACAGCATGCGTAAACCTTGAGGGCATTACACTAAATGAAATAAGCCAGTCACAAAAAATACAAATACTGTATGATTCCACTTATATGTAGTATATAAAGGAGTCAAATTCATAGAAACAAAAAGTAGAATGGTGGTTGCCAGGGACCGGAGGAGGGTGAAATGGGAGTTGTTTAATATGTACCGAGTTTTGGTTTTACAAGACGAAAACATTCTGAAGAGATGTTTCACAACGATGTGAATATACTTTGCTGAACTATACATTTAAAAATGGTTAAGATGGTAAATTTTATTTTATTTTTATTATTATTTTAAACCACAAATAAAAAAGAAAAAGGAGGCTGGGTGTAGTGGCTCATGCCTGTAATCCCAGCACTTTGGGAGGCTGAGGCGGGCGGATCGCTAAGGATTTCAAGACCAGACTGGCCAACATGGTGAAACCCCGTCTCTACTAAAAAATACAAAAGTTAGCTGGGCATGGTAGCTAGTGCCTATAATCCCAGCTATTTGGGAGGCCGAGGTAGGAGAATTGCTTGAACCGGGACCCAAGAGGCGGAGGTTGCAGTGAGCCAAGATTGCGCTACTGCACTCCAGCCTGGGCTACAGAGTGAGTGAGACTCCATCTCAAAAAAAAAAAAAAAAAAAAAAAAGAAAAAGGAAAGAAAAAGGCAGACTGTTGTTTGAGCTAGAGTGGAGAACCCCTGCCCTGGTCTGACTGAAATGTCTCTTCCCTACATATTCCCAGGGCTTCTCCCACTCAGCTGGAGCATAACCCTCATGGCATGGTCTAATGGTTAACTGATTTCCCTATTCATTTCCTTAACTAGATTGAATGTGAGCACTTTGAGGCTGTGGCTACTGGTTAACTTTGTTTGCACAAAAGCTAGTGTGAGAACTGGCATACAGTAAGTGCTCAATAAAGATTTGCTAAAGGAATAATCTGATATTAAATTACAGTTTCCAATAATGAATAAACCAAGACATGATGATTATGTATGGATGTGGTAGTCTTTTAAAAAATCTGTCAGGTATTCCATTAATTTGTTTAATAAAATAATTTGTAGTTTTTGGAACACCATAATGGCATGCTCTACTTGTCCATGGGAAAATCTGAAGGCCAGAGATGGCAAGATAAAAAATAAATCTGGATGCCATTTTATGAGGGTGACATCACTTTTCACATTATTACTTTCATATGTGATTTCCATTTGTGGCTAAACATACGGATTTTTTGCTTTTTTACAAGTATTTACTTCAGAGGCATGTGGAGAGCCTAGCTATCTGTTGAGTTTTTGTTTTTATAATTTACTTTTTTTTTTTTGAGGCGGAGTCTCACTCTGTCGCCTAGGCTGGAGTGCAATACTGCAATCTCGGCTCACTGAAACCTCTGCTTCCTGGGTTCAAGTGATTCTTGTGCCTCAGCCACCCGAGTAGCTTGGATTACAGGTGCCTGCCATCACACTCAGCTAATTTTAAAAAATGTTTAGTAGAGACGGGGTATCACTATGTTGGCCAGGCTGGTCTTGAACTCCTGACTTCAAGTAATCCATGAGCCTCAGCCTCCCAAAGTGCTAGGAGTACAGGCATGAGCCACCATGCCCGGCCTGTTTTTACGATTTACAATTTAAAAAAATTTCCTGACTCTTGAAGTCAAAGGGTTAACAGACCTTTATATGCCTTCCCACCTCTAAGCACCTAAATCCCTGTCTCTCTAACCCAAATTATGTTTTACCTGCTTATTATAAGCAGTGATATTATGAGTTTTTCAAATCATTAAATTCAATTATAGTAAAACATTGCTGGTTGTAAATATGCCTCAAAGGGGCCTTGCATAGCACTTTAAACAGAAAAAAATAAAACCATCAAAGTCTTTTTGATTTTTGCTGAGAAGTTGCTGTACACTTAAAATTGGTTTAATTTTTAAAAAACACATTAAACTTCTCACAATCTAATCTGCTATCCAAAATTCTTTTTAGTTAGGACACTCAAAATAGCTTGGACATTTGTCATATCAGGGCATGTTCCTTGGGTGCTTTTTATTACAAATAATCCATCTTTAATACTTTCCATGTTTCATTCATTTTGCTTTCACTCTTTTTTGAAATCTACTTAGTTTTTAAACTTCAGAGATAGCTGGAAGCTGCTTTAGATTATTCAAATGGTAAACGCTTAATCTATTCACCTCTTTTTGTCGCTGGCTATAAACATAAATATATATATATTTAGAGATAGGGTCTTGCTCTGTTACACTGGCTGGAGTGCAGTAGTGCAGTCATACCTTACTGCGGCCTCTAACTCCTGGGCTCAAGCAATCCTCTTGCCTCAGCTTACAAAGACCTGGGATTGCAGGCACGCACTACCACTCTTAGTGTGATGGTTAATACCGAGTGTCAACTTGGATTGAAGGATGCAAAGTATTACTCCTGGGTGTATTTGTGAGGGTGTTGCCAAAAGAGATTAATTTTGAGTCAGTGGGCTGGGGAAGGCAGACCTACTCCTAATCTCGATGGGCACCATCTAATCAACTGCCAGTGAATATAAAGCAGGCAGAAGAATGTGAAAAGGTTAGAATGGCCTAGCCTTCCAGCCTACATCTTTCTCCCATGCTGGATGCTTCCTGTCCTCGAACATCAGACTCCAAGTTCTTCAATTTTGGAACTCAGACTGGCTGTCCTTGCTCCTCAGCCTGCAGGTGGTCTACTATGGGACCCTGTGATTGTGTGAGTTAATACTTAATAAATTCTCCTTTATATGTATATGTATGTGTGTGTGTGTGTGTGTGTGTGTGTATGTATTCCATTAATTCTGTCCCTGTAGAGAACTCTAATATACCTAGCTAATTAATTTTTTGTTGTTGTTGTTGAGATAGGGTTTTGTTATATTGCCCAGGCTTGTCTCAAACTCTTGAGCTCAAGCAATCCTCTTGCCTCAGGCTCTAAAGTGTTGGGATTACAGGTATAAGCTACCCACCAGGCCTATAAACATATTTTCTTATGGCCTATGCTATAAAAGGAGCCAGAACCAGAGGGCAAAATGGTGGAATGATGGGCAAATTCATTCATATTGTTTCCCTTTTACTTTGTCAATTTTAATCATTAGAAGAAAACTACAGAGTCCCTTTCTGCAGTCCCTGCTGGGAAGTGAAGACCTGAATGTGTTCCGGAAGTATGTAACATCCAGACTTGTTCTTCAAATGTCTATCTGTTATTGATCACATTATGTATTAGGTCTTCCATCTTTTCTAAGTTGAAAGTGCCATCTTTATCATATACAGTAGGGGTTTGTACTGTCTGTGGTTTCAGGCATCCACTGGGGGTCTTGAAACATATGCCCTGCCAATGAGGAGGGACTCCTGTTTTAAGATTTTTCTGTTTCTGGGCTCTCCATTCTGTTTCATCCATCTGTCTGTTTTACTACCTTTAGAATGCATTTAGGATCTGGTAGGGCCACTGCTTCCTCAGTCTTCTTTTCCAAAGTTTTTTTTTTTTTTTTTTTGAGGTGGAGTTTCGCTCTTGTTGCCCAGGCTGGAGTGCAATGGTGTGATCTTGGCTCACAGAAACCTCCGCCTCCCAGGTTCAAGCGATTCTCCTGCCTCAGCCTCCTGAGTATCTGGGATTACAGGCATACACCACCACGCCCAGCTAATTTTGTATTTTTAGTAGAGATGGGGTTTCTCCGTATTGGTCAGGCTGATCTCGAACTCCCGACCTCAGGTGATCCGCCCACCTCGGCCTCCCAAAGTGCTGGGATTATAGGCGTGAGCCACTGTGCCCAGCCTTCCAAGGTTTTTCTGGCTATTCACAATGATAGGTTTGAATGTCCTGGGTCCTATGTTTCTGTCATGTTTCTGTTTACATCACTATGAACCTTAGGGCCCTTCCAGTAACAAATTGTTCAAAAAAGATGCACAGCCAGGCCCTAAGTTAAAGAATGAGCTGGTTTTGTTTCTGTTTTCTCTAGTTGGTTCTATATAGAAATATGGCTGCATAAAGTAAATCCTTCACACTTCCTACATCACACGTAGGTACTTAAAATGTAATATGTAATTAAAAGCATAATTACATAAAGACAACTGTACCTGAGCAATTGTCTCTGGGTCCAGTGGCTTATGGTCATTGAAGCCCGTGTATTGCCCTGATGACGTGGACCTTCTAATTGGAGGGCTGTCGTTCTTCTTAAGGGAGTCGTGCCGGCTGATGTTGGTCAGGCTGCCATGGCCAGGCCTGCGCCTCCGCTCAGGACTGTCATTGTTGAGGCCACGGTTCTGTAGCAGGCCCCGGGGATGACTGGCCAGGCTCGGGGACCCCAGCTCAACTGAGGAGTTGGAAAGGGCATGTGGAGGGTGGAGTGGGCAATGGCTATCGCTGGTCCGGCCAGGGCGCCTTACTGGAGGGGGCGGCTCTCCTCTTTTTCTTTGCCTAGACATTCACAGAAGTAGGGAGAAAACAGAAGAGCTTATCACACTGGGCGGTACTGCAAGGCTGAGGGTGCAGTGGCTACTCATGGCCCTGAGGGGAGTGGAGGTTTAGGGGCCTGATTCCCAGGGTCCACTCACCTGGCTAAATAGCCGTCAGGATGACGGTCTGTCGGGGAGTTCATGTCCTTGGATGAGGACTTGTCTTCTGTGGCTGGCCCACTGCTGGCCTCGCTGTCGGCTTTTTGGCTCAGAGTGTCTGAAAATGTATCATCCCTGAAACAGTAAGAATCATGAATGAGGGTCTTTTGCTAGATGAGCGGAGACAAAAATTTACATGATAGCATTTGTATATGAAATTCCTTCTTTTATTAAAATAACACTTTTCATTATAAAAGCAATACAATTTCATTACAGGTAAATCAGCAATTTCAGTTATATAAAAAAGAGGGAAATAATCCCCCATAATATAACATCCAGAGACAACTACTGTTAGAATTTTAAGAAACAGTTCTCACTCATAGGCGGGTGTTGAACAATGAGAACACATGGACACAGGGAGGGGAGCACTACACACTGGGGTCAGTTGGGGGGAAATAGGGGAGGGACGGTGGGGGGTGGGAAGCTGGGGAGAGATAGCAAGGGGAGAAATGCCAGATATAGGTGATGGGGAGGAAGACAGCGAATCACACTGCCACGTGTGTTCCTATGCAACAATTTTGCATGTTCTTCACATGTACCCCAAAACCTAAAATGCAATAAAATAAATAAATGGGAAAAAAAAAAAAAAAAAAAAAAAAAAGAATTTTAAGAAACATCCTTCCCCACCTTCTATGCTATGTCTGGGATACATATCTGTGAGTGTGCACACACATATGTATGGCATTTATACTGCAGTCACATGTTGCTTAATAACGAGGATGTGTTCTGAGAAATGTGTTGTCAAACAATCTCGTCACATGGGAACATCATAGAGTGCACTTACGCAAATCCAGACGCACACGTAGGCTATATGGTAGAGCCTGTTGCTCCTAGGCTACAACCCTGCACAGCATGTTACTGTACTGAATACTACAGGCAGTTGTAACACAATCGTGTAAACAAGTGTCTGTGTATCTAAACATATCTAAATATAGAAAAGGTACAGTAAAAATAGGATATTAAATCCTATGGGACCACCATCATATATGTGGACCACTGATGCTCAAAATGCCATGGGGTGGTACATGACTGTATCGCTCTTTGTGCAAATTTATTTTATATAGAAATATATTTATATGTAGATATTTCAGATATATATCACTACATGTTGGTATATACACACATTTCATGGCTTCTGAGATACACATTTTAAAATTTCTGAAATTAGGCCTTTAACTACTTTTGAAATTAGAGCTTTCTCCTCAGCAAAAAAAAAAAAAAAAAACACAGTGATGATTCCCTCTGACTTTAGGTCTGTGTCCTCCCTCTGGGGAATCTGGAATTGAAACGGTAAACGGACATCAAGAGACGACCACTGCTGTTTTTGGAATTACCAATGTCACTTCAGCACTTAACACCATTCTCTGCACAGGTTATTTTTCTAAGAATCTGAATGCTTCAGAAGATGTCTCCCCCTAGATCTTGCTCCAAACCCCCTGGTCCTGACTTATTTTTAGCAAAGAGTCACTGGCAAGGTGAAGAACTGTGCCCAGGTCTGAAGTTTTACCTCTGTAATCCCTTCTGCCCCTTTCTCACAAGACCAAGGTCAGTTTAAGAACAATGGCTGGAGTTCTCTATTGGGAGCACTCAGGCAATCAAAGTTGAGACTACTCACATATCCTGCACCACTATATACTGGTGAGGCACCAGCCCATCAATCCCGTTGTGCCTGCCTTCCCACCAGTCCTCAGATGCGCGGTGATACAGCAGCAGGGAGGCACCCTTCTTGAAGGATAGTTCTCTGGCAGACCGCCCAACATAGTCAAACTTGGCTATTGCTTCTATTGGCTCACATTCTACAAAGAACACACCAGAAAACAGTGAGAAACAAGGTTATTAGGAAGGTATGGTATCCTATCAGTCAGGGCTATATGAGGCTTTAAATAATCAAGACCATTTTAATATCCACACTGAACAGAGTCATCAACAATCATCAAGGCAGGAGAAAATAGAGGCTGTTTAAAAAGATATAGAAAAACATTCTCTTGCTGTCATCAGTTTTGCAAGCAAAGAAAAACTGAACATTGGAGCTTCATTTCCGCAGCCTCCTTCTAGAAATATAATGACAGTCAAATAAGAAACACTTTAAACTTTGCAATAAGATATATAAAATCTCTCCTTGAGTTGTAATATCCTCCACAGTTGCTTCAATATGATTTTGACATTGATGGATGACACTGATGGAATGTCCTTGTAACATGTTAATACCATTTATAACATGAAAAAAAATCATCTCAGAACATTAGGAAGTTTATGCTTTACCACCTTATTTAAAAAAAATCAGCTGGGCGCAGTGGCTCACGCCTGTAATCCCAGCACTTTGGGAGTCTGAGGCCAGGGGATCATGAGGTCAGGCATTTGAGACCAGTCTGGCCAACATGGTGAAACCCCATCTCTACTAACAATACAAAAAATTAGCTGCACATGGTGATGTCTGACTGTTAATTCCAGCTACTCGGGAGGCTGAGGCAGGAGAATTGCTTGAACCTCGGAGGCTGAGGTTGCAGGGAGCCGAGATTGTGTTACTGTACTCCAGCTTGGGCAACAGAGTGAGACTCCATCTTAAAAAAAAATCAAGTAAAATCACAATACATAGTATGTGAATACATTTAATTTCCACATATGTTCTTTGGCAGTATCAAATCTTTAAGCTAATACTTACTGTAATCCCAATTTTTTTCCTCTGGTATCAGTAACAAATTTTGGATCTTAACCATGAAACAAGCATACCTTACATTGCCCTCTATCCAAATGAAATAAACAGATTCAAAATTTTTATTTTTCTTGAGATCAAAAGATATTCAAGGGAATGATGGCGAGTGATAAAAGCCAATCTCAAAAGGTTACATGCCATACAATTCCATTTATATAGCATTCTTCAAATGACATAATTATAGAGATGGAGAATATATTAATGGCTGCCAGAGGTTGGGGTTGGGGAGGTGATAGAGGGAAGTGGCCATGGCTATAAAGGGTAGCACAAGGGTTCCTTGTAATGGAACTGTTTGTTATCTTGACTACGGGTTGTAGTCAAACAAAGCTATACATGTGATAAAACTGTACAGAAGTAAGTAAACACACACACAAAGATGATGGCAGATGTACAGGTGGCAACTGGTGAAATGTAAAACTGGTGAAAGGAGTGCATGTAAAACTGGTGAAACATTTATATGGTGAAGGTTTATAACATGTCAGCTTCCTGCTTGTGAAACAATATTACAGTTTTGTAAGATACCACCATTGACAGAAACTGGCAGAAGGTATATGAGATCTCTCTATATTGTTTTTAACAACAGCTTGTGAATTTACAATGATTTCAAAATAATAAGTTAGAAAAAAAAAAGATATCAAATGCTAGGCTTAGAACTGGAATTCAGCTCTGATATAATTCTGAGCACAAATATTCAAGGCAAACAGGAGGCCAAACTGCTGCTTGCACCAAAAGAGGTATTTCTTTGTGATTTATCTTATTCCAAGAAGCTCTTCAATTTAAGGCCATATGATCTTTTCTCCCCTCTCCCACAAACACCTCATCCTTAGCCCTGTAATCAACAAAGGTGAGTAAACTTCTCTTCAATAATAAACAGAACAAAAAGGGGCCAAGGCACAGGGCATAAGCTTACAGGAATATGGCTATACAAGGAACAATACATCATTTGCTAAAAACTGAGCATGTATTTGTTTCCAAATACTTTAGATATATGTGTACACAGAAGAGATTAAAAACTGCCTATCTCAAAAATTCCCCAGGAAGTTGTCTTCTATTTCCCCTTGGTAGCAAACTTTCCCATTTAAAGAGTTTATCCTTCCCTAAGTTTACTGCAATAGCCATTGTACTTGTAATAACTGCAAGAGAAATTCTTCTGGGCTTCTTTCTCATTTGATAAATTCAAAATTCTCAGGGACATAGAATGCAAAAGCATAAAAACCAGCAAACATATTGAAAAGGTGACAAAGTGAGACCCTGTCTCAAAAAAACAAAAAATAGCATGTCTTCATTCTTTCATGGGATGTTTATTTCTTTTTCACAGGAATAACTGGGGCGTATATTTGGGCATCTGTCATCTCAGGTCAACCAGAATTTATTCTTTAAGTTTTGAACTGTAATAAGCTCATTCCCTTTCAATGTAAAGTTATAGTCCCTCCTCTAAGAAGTAGACACATAGATGTTTAATAAAGCTGCTATTTATGTTGTTTTCATAAAATATAATTTGGGGGAATATCAGAGTATTAACATATAATCTAAAAGTTATATTCAATTGTTAAAGGATTTAAACAAGCAACAGGATTATCAGACTCTTCTTATTTATTCAAATGTGGACAGGTTATGACAGCATGACCAGATAAATCAGCAGAACATTTTATTGGCAATCTTAGTACATCAACTAGTAATTCTCAGCAATTTCATTATTTTTACTCTTTCTACTCCTGTGAGAGCCATTTCACAGTCAAGTGTCAATCAATAAGCTATTTACACACATTTTAGTCTGGTCATTGCAGAGCAAATCAATCTCAGGGCACTGTAAAGTATGCCTCTTTCATACAGAGAGCCTCACAGTACTTTAAGGTCCAGCAGAGACTTCATAGAATGCTGCTACTGCTGCTATCAATAACAATAATAGTGAGAGTGCAACATGATCACTTAGTTTTCCTGCATGGGTAATACAATTTTGTGCAAAAGGAAAGACAATTCAGTACAGATGATTTCCTGACTGCCTGGTGCTGTCAAGTCTTATATTTCCATTTTTTGTAATGTTATATAAAATGTGATCATACTTTCTCTTGGGGGCCTTGCTGTTGCTGACATTTTCCCTCCTAGATCTGTTACCCACTGTCCTTGCGGAGAATGGTTTTGTTCTGTGACAGCTTGTCTTTCAGAAACAAAAGCTGCTCTCTCTAGTGATACCATGACAAAGAAAAAAATACAATACCTGGGTAATGAAAAGATAATTGATACTCTAGTTAATTCAGTTACAGGACTTTGGGGGTTGGCTGTGGGTAAGAATATCTGTTCTTTGTAAGCAATGTTTTTCTTTTCAGAAAAATCAGGTGATTTCTGCTGATTTATCTGGTTATCCTGTCATAACCTGTCCACATTTGAATAAATAAGCAGAGTCTGATAATCCTGTTGCTTGTTTCAAAAAAATAATAAAAATGTTATCTAAACACAGAGCACTCAGCAAAGCTCTCTTATAGTCAAGAGGTAAAAGGCAGATGGCATGATGGCGAGATTCATGTTTGGGAATACAGATGGCTGGGCTTTGTCCTGGCTTTTCTGGCTACTGGGGAAAGCAGGGAAACACCTAAGAGAAGGCAGAGTGAAAAAGAAAGAAACCATGCAAAGAAAGAAAAGAAAGAAAGAAAAGAAAGAAAAGAAAGGAAGGAAGGAAGGAAGAGGGAAGGAGGAAGGAAGGAAGGAAGAAGGAAGAAGGAAGGAAGGAAGGAAAGAAGAAGGAAGGAAGAAGGAAGGAAGGAAGGAAAGAAGAAGGAAGGAAAGAGGAAGGAAAGAAAGAAGGAAGGAAGGAAAGAAGGAAAGAAAAGAAAGAAAGAAAGAAAGAGAAAGAAAGACAGACAGGAACCCACAAGAAAGGATGGTGGCAGAGGCAGGACTCAGACTTTCAAAAGCAACATCACAGGCTGGGCATGGTTGCTCACGCCTGTAATCCCAGCACTTTGGGAGGCTAAGGAAGGAGGACTGCTTGAGGCCAGGAGTTCAAAACCCACCCTGGGCAACAGAGTAAGGCCCAGTCTCTAAAGAAAATAAAAAGAGCAACATCACAGAAATAGAAGGATATCTTGTAACTTAAGTTCAGAAAATGTCAACTGATTTTACTTTTAAAGACACAAAGAAGGCGGGGTGTGGGTGGCTCATGCCTCTAATACCAGCACTTTGGATCTCAGGAGGATCATTGGAGCTCAGGAGGATCATCTGAGCCCAGGAGTTTGAGATCAGCCTGGGCAACATAGGAAAACCCTATCTCTACAAAAAATACAAAAATTAGCCAGGCATGGTGATGCATGACTGTGGTTCCAGCTACTCAGGAGGCTGAGGTGGGAGGACTGCTTGGCCTCAGGAGGTTGAGGCTGCAGTGAGCTAAGATGGTGCAACTGTACTCCAGCCTGGGCAACAGGCTGTTTCTCTCTCTCGCTCACACACACAAAAGACACAAAAAAACTTGTGTTTTTTTTTTTTTTTTTTTTTTTTTTTTTTTTTTAAGCAGATAGTGGACACAAGATACCTTAATTACTCTCCTGCTAGAATCATCCAAAAATGCTGGATTAAAAAGCAAACAACCAACCTTCGTAATTACATTAATAAGCTATCAAAACAGTAAAGAATACTAAAGACCAAAATGCAACAAAAGTGGGAACCCAGAGAGGTAAGCAGAACATTAGAACATGAGTTGGATTTTACCTTGCGAGCATTTTTCTAGCCTGGTCACCTTAAGCTTTTAAAATTTTTTTCACAGGTGATTAAGTCCAGGGCTTGCTCAGTGATAGGAATATAAACCTCTTGCCCTCTCCAGCCCCAGAGAATTACACCCTCAGTTTCATAGTGAACTTCACTCTAGTGTTCTAGAACTTTCTAAAACACTTCTATTTCTAGAAATCTTTTCCCTTTTTAGCTCTCAATACCTCTCCATACATGGTAACCATCTCCCCCGCCCTCCACCCTCAGATGATTTGTGTCAAGGTTTAAGATAGATAGCAAATAATCTATCTTAAACCTTGACACAAATCAACTAAGAATCCCATCCACATTCCAGTTCTCAGGAAGGTTTGCAGTTTAAATTCACACTACTTGGGTGGTTTGAAAAACTTCAAGCTGAAAATTCAATGCTGTTAGGCTGGTTGTAACCCAGGCGGAAATACATGAAAACCCTCTCTGGAAGAATCTACCTTCCGCTGAGCCTAAAGTTCCAAGAAATCTATACAAAATTTACAAACACAGTGGCAAATAAGACTCAATGAGTGAGAGCCAAAAAAACAAATTTGAGAAGACATATGAAAATTATCAGACACATATTCTGATAGGAAGCACTGATGAATAAACAGCAAGAGACTGTAAAAGATCATCAAGCACCAGATATAAAAGCACACTAAATACACTTGTAGAAAGAAATAATATCCAAAGGCTGGGCACGGTGGCTCACACCTGTAATCCCAGCACTTTGGGAGACTGAGGTTGGTAGATCACCTGAGTTCAGGAGTTCGAGACAAGCCTGGCCAACATGGTGAAACACCATCTCTACTAAAAATATAAAAACTAGCTGGGCGTGGTGGTGCACACCTGTAATCCCAGCTACTGGGGAGGCTGAGGCAGGAGAATCACTTTAACCTAGGAGGTGGAGGTTGCAGTGAGCTGAGATCGTGCCATTGCACTCCGGCCTGGTCAAAAAGAGCAAAACTCCGTCTCAAAAAAAAGAAAAATATTTAAAAATAAAACTTTAATGAATGGATATGCTTAAAGCAGATTAGTTACCGTTGAAAAGAATTTGTGCATATAGCTGAAGAAGTGCTAGAGAAAACTGACAGCTTTAAATGTTTACATTAGAAAGTAAAAAGTGTTGAAAATGAATGCTAAGCCTTAAACTTACGTTGGACAATGAAAAAATCTCTACGGAGAAAGAATAAAAGTTTATTTTGAGACATTAACTAACTGGAAATATGTGCATGGACTGGAATATTGAATATTGTCAAGATATCAGTTCTCTCCATATTAATATGTGTAGAATTTGTGCAAGGGCAGTCAAAACGCCAGTTGGGCTTTAGAGAGTTTTGTTTATCAGAAGAACTTGAAAAACTGAGTCTAAAATTTAAGTGGAATTGCAAAGGGCCAAGAATTATTACAAAGCAGATGTGTTGCTTTATGAACTATTAAGATTTATTAAAAGGTATCAAAATTTAGGACAGTGATATAGGGACAGACACATAGACCAGGGGAAAGGAATAGAGCCCAGGAGGAAATTCACACAAAGAAGATGCTTCATTTATGACAAAGATGTAGAGCAGTGGAGAAAGGACAATTAATGCTGAGATAATTGTGACAATTATGTATCCATATAAAGAAAAAGGGAATGGATCTCTACCTCACATCATAACCCCAGATAAACTGCTGGTGGAATAAAGACCTATGTGTGAAAAGCAAAACCTTAAAGGATTTAAAATAATATGGGGCTGGATGCAATGGCTTATGCCTGTAATCCCAGCACTTTCAGAGGCTGAGGAGGGTGGATCACTTGAGTCAGGAGTATGAGACCAGCCTGGCCAACATGGTGAAATGTTGTCTCTACTAAAAATACAAAAATTAGCCATGCCTGTAGTTCCTGCTACTCGGGAGGCTGAGGCCGGAGAATCGCTTGAAGCCAGGAGGTGGAGGTTGCAGTGTGCCAAGATCATGCCACTATATCCCAGCTTGGGTGACAGAGAGACTCCATCTCAAATACATAAATAAATAAGTAAAATAAAAGAATATGGCACCAAAGAAGACCTACAAACTGATAAATAAATAATACATGAATGAATGAATGAAAAGAATATGACACCAAAGAAGACATACAAACAGCCAACAGGTATATTTAAAAATGCTGAGCATCACTAATCATCAGGAGAATGCAAATCAAAACCACAAATGAGGTTATCCCACCATGTTAGGAAATAAACAAAACAAAAGATAACAAGTGTTGGCTGGACGCAGTGGCTCATGCCTATAATCTCAGCACTTTGTGAGGCCAAGGCAGGTAAATGGCTTGAGCTCAGGAGTTTGAGACCAGCCTGGGGAACACGGCAACACCCCACCTCTACAAATAATTAGCTGGGCATGGTAAAATGTGCCTCTAGTCCCAGCTACTTGGGAGGCTGAGGTGGGAGGATCACTGGATCCTGGGAAGTCAAGGCTGCAGTGAGCCAAGATCATGCCACTGCACTCCAGCCTGGGTGACAGAGTGAGACCCTGTCTCAAAAACAAAAAACAAAAATTAAAAAAAAGATAAGGATTACCAAGGATGTGGAGAAACTGAAACCTTTGTACACTGCTGTTGGGAATGCAAAATGGCACAGCTGCTTTAGAAAACAGTATAGAGGGTCCTCAAACACTTAAAAATAAAACGACCATGTGATACAACCATCCCACTTCTGGGTATTTATCCAAAATAACTGAAATTGGGATCTTCAAGAGATATTAGCACTCCTATGCTCATTTCAGCACTATTCACAATAGCCAAGATATAGAAACGACCTAAATGACCATGGACAGATGAACGGATAAAGAAAATATATGTAAATACAATGGCATACTATTCAGATTATAACAAGAAGGACATCCTGACATATGCGACAGCATGGATGAACCTGGAGGACGTTTTGCTAAGTGAAATAAGTCAGACACAGAAAGACAAATTCTACATAAGTTCACTTATAATGAGATATCGAAAAGAGCTAAATTCATAGAATCAAAGGGTGGAATGGTGGTTGCCAGAGGCAAGGGGGAGAGGGAAATGGGAAGTTACTAACAAGTGGGAATAAAGTTTCAGTCAAGCAAGGTGAACAAGTTCTAGAGATCTGCTGTATAACACTGTACCTACGGTCAACATGAAGGTACTCTACACTTGAGTGTTCTTGACAAAATAAAAGAATATGAGAGAATTAGGTACTATATTGACAAAATAAAAGAATATGAGAGAATTAGGTACTGTATACTTAAGTGTTCTTACCAAAATAAAATAAGACAATATGGGAGAATTAGGTACTGTACACTTAAGTGTTCTTGCCAAAATAAGTATGAGAATATGAGAGAATTCGGTAGTATACACTTAAGTGTTCTTACCAAAGTAAATTAAGAGAATATGGGAGAATTAGGTACTGTACACTTAAGTGTTCTTGCCAAAATAAGAGAATATGGGAGAATTATTTTTCATTACCTCAAGACACAGAAGGATTTCTTAAAGGAGATGCAGAGTAAAATAATCATGAAGGACAAGATTGGAAAATGTAACTACTTTAAGATCTTCTGTTTAGCAAAAGACATAATAAGCATTTGAAAAGCAAAGCTACAGAGTAGGGGAAGATATCTGCAAAGCATATACCCAATAAAGGACCTGATATGGACCCACAAAGAACTCTTACAAATCAAATAATAAAAAAACAACTAAAATCAAACCAAGTGAACCAAACATAAAGAGCCCAGAGAACTCCACAGAAAAATGGGCAAAAGACTCGATAGGAATTTCACAAATGATACCGAAACACATTATCAACCATGTCTTTTATATTTTGTATTCTGACATCTGGGGCCTTTCTGACCTTGGAGGGACAGTCTCTTTAGGGTTAGCCAATTTCTGGAGACAGTAAACAACTCACCCACAAGCAAGCTTTTCAAACACCAACCTGCCAGTTGGAGCCAACACCCCACCACCCTGATGATCAGGCTCTCCCACTCCAAGCCACTGCTGCCCTGTTCTCAGCACCCCAGGGCCAGGTACCAGACAACTTGGAACAGCTCCTAATGTCCCAGAGCCTGCTGAAATTACTCCTACTAGCCAACCCTAAAGCTGCTTACCCTGCCATACCCATTCCTTCCTGTGGAAGGCACACCAGGGTCTTCATTTTCCCTCTGCCTCCCGACAGACTGGGTGCTTCCCCAGGTGGCCGCCCATGGCGTGGCATCCCCACTTCTCTCAGGAACTCTAAGGAGCAACTGTCTTCATAAAAATGGTTTGACAGTGTCAAGTAAAGCTGAAGACACAGTTACTCCTAGGCATACATCCTAGAGAAACTCCTGTACATTTCAGTAGGAGACATGTTCAAAATGTTCCTAACAGTGCATAGTAGCACTGTTCTTAATAGCAACGAGTAGAAAATACCTCATATATTCATCAAAATGACATAGATACATACAATGGAATATTATAAAGTGGTAAAATAATTCAAACTGCATGCAACTGCACAGGTGAACATCAAGCACATAATACTGAGTAGAAAAAACTCACAAAAAATAGATACAGTGTGATCCCATTTATAAAAGATTTAAGAAAATAGAAATGGAAACAAGAAACTGTTTAAAAACACAAACACAGTAGTTATTCCTGAGGGTTAGTAAGTAAGGCAGTCAGATCAGGGACGTGCAAAGGAAATAATATGTCTTTTTTCTTAAGCTTGGTGGTGGTTCCATTAGTTTTCATTGTAATGTTATTTTTTATACCTTACACATATTTTATAAATTTTTTTTAATCTAGTTTTTCTTTTCTTTTTTTTTTTTTTAGACGGAGTCTGTTCTGTTGCCCAGGCTGGAGTGCAGTGGCACTATCCTAGGTCACTGTAGCCTCACACTCCTGGGCTCGTACAATCCTCCCACCTCACCCTCCTGCGTAGCTGGGACTACAGGTGCATATCACCATGCCTGGCTAATTTTTTGTAGAGATGGGCTCTCACTATGTTGCACAGGCTGGTGTTGAGCTCCTGGGCTCAAGTGATCCTTCCACCTTGGCCTCCCAAAGTGCTGGGATTACAGGTGGGAGCCACTGTGCTTTGCCTCTAAAATTTTAATACAAGCAATTGTTTACAATAGGGATATAAAGACTGGTTTTATAATAGCATAAGGGCAGGGCATACCATCTTCGCTTGTGTGGGGCTCTGTACCAGCATCTTGGTCCACTTCCTCCAATGTACCATGCTCACTGTATGGGCTGTCGCTGTAAAATACAAATGGAAATTCAAATGAAATTAAAACAGACAAAAATTTTTTGAGACAGCGTCTTGCAATGAATGCTGCCTAGGCTGGAGTGTAGCAATGCGATCTTGGCTCACTGCAACCTCTGCCTCCTAGGCTTAAGTGATCCTCCCACCTCAGCCTCTCAAGTAGTTGGGACAACAGGTGTGCACCACCACACCTGGCTAATTTTTAAATTTTTTGTAAAGATGAGGGTCTCATTATTTTGCTTGGGCTGGTCTCAAACTCCTGGACTTAATCCTCCTGCTTCTGCCTCCCAAAGTGCTAGGATTACAGGTATGAGCTACCATGCCTGGCCAGACAGAATTTTAATAATGAACAATTGCTACTATAATGAAAACTGTAAGACTCTATAAGGGCAAAAGAGTTATTGGATAGTCTGTCAATGGAATCCTGGCATCTCCATTGATTATGTTGTCCTATGGGAGTATATATTATATACATCTATTCATCTGACTAGGTTGTTTTACAACCCTATAAAGACGAGTTCACTTGTAGAAAATGGATAGCATTGTAAGTAATTCTTATCCATAGAAATACAAATTACAAATTCTGGCAGAATATGATTATTGCCCTATGGATAGATCAGTTTTTACAAATTCATTTTGCTATTCCTTTACTACACAGAAACTGGTGGTTCAAATATACAATACATTATTGTTATTGATGTCTCCTTTGAAGTGGTTGTGGGATTTACCATCTTTTCTTGACACATGCTCATTATGTATATGTGTATGAGAATCACGATTTTATCCTCTTTTAAAACTTATCCCTTAACACTGTCACTACCTCTCCTCAAATGCGTGCTGATAAATGGAACACATGGGCCACAAATATAAACCTAATATTACTATAAAAGCTTATTTGCATTTCTGATGTTGGGGGACAAGTAAAACTATGACACTATTGACTTTCTGTTTAAAATGAGCAACACCCACAGAAAACACCAGTTTAGAAAGATGGACATAGTCAAGCACATGTGACTGGCTGTAAGATTATCACAGGACCTACACTCTGGAAAAAGTAGCCATCACAAAATGTCCCAGAGTATAACACATCAAATAATATTGACCAGACATCTACAAACTTGCTCTTTTTATAAAATGAACAAGACAGCAGAGCTTACTGACATAGCCCTAATATTTAAAAATGCTAACTAGGCCAGGCACAGTGGCTCACGTCTGTAATCCCAGCACTTTGGGAGGCTAAGGTGGGCAGATCACCTGAGGTCGGGAGCTCGAGACCAGCCTGGCTAACATGGTAAAACCGTCTCAACTAAAAATACAATAATTAGCTGGGCGTGGTGGTGGACACCTGTAATCCCAGCTACCCGGGAGCCTGAGGCAGGAAAATTGCTTGAACCCGACAGGCAGAGGTTGCAGTGCGTAGAGATTGCATCGTGGTGTTCCAGCCTGGTGACAGAGCGATACTCCGTCTAAAAAAAGAAAAGCTAACCATACCTTTGGCACTGGCCTTAAAACAAATACAACGAAGAAAATAAAATTACATATCTCAGCAGGGTTAAGTTGCATTCATTTACCTTCCCAGAGCCAAGCTCAGTTAGTATCTTGCCCATAGTAATTACTCAAGTAAATATTTTGAATTGAATTTCATGTGTAAAGTTGGTGAATATATTACAGAACTGGAATCTAGTATGTTTCGTTCTTAATTTAGAAAACAGTACTTCTGGAAATGGTCAACTTAAGGCATATGACCATACTATGATTCAAGTTAAAAAAAAAAGTACTTTCAGTTATTTAATTATTTTTCAGCTACTCATTCCACTTCTACTTAATCTTTGGTAAGAAAATGGGAAAGAAAGGCCAGGTGCAGTGGCTCATGCCTGTAATCCCAGCACTTTGGGAGGCTGAGGTGGGTGGATCACTTGAGGTCAGGAGTTCAAGACCAGCCTAGCCAACATGGTGAAACCCTGTCTCTATTAAAAATACAAAAATTAGCTGAGTGTGGTGGGGGGCACCTGTAATCCCAGTTACTTGGGTGAGGTGGGAAAGAAAGTGTTGTGAGCAGGGTCCAGAACAAGGGATTTAGACAAACCTATTTCCACCTGCTCTTGAATCCTAGCTGCACAGGGCAGTTTCTGAGGTGGGCAGGGAGGCTGCTGAGTGGGAAGACTCACGTGTGCTTTGGAATCACACACACCTAACCTTGATTTACTACTAATCACTGGACAGGCTCTTTGGCCTTTCTTAACTTACTTGGTAGAGTGGTCATGATAAATAAAAGAGAACATGTGCACCAAGCAGCTGACATGTAATAGGGGTTCAAGAAATTGAAGTTCTTTCTTTGCTATTTTTTAATTGATATATAATAGTTGTACATATTTTAGGAGTATATGTGATATTTTGATACTCATATACAATGTGTAATGATCAAACTGGGGTAACTGGGATGTCCATCACCTCACACATTTATTTTTTCTTCATGTTGGGAACCTTACAATTCTTCTGTTTTAAAATATACAACACATTATTGTTAGCTATAATTTTCCTCCTGTACTGAATACTAAACTTATTCTAATTTAAAAATTTTTTTTGAGACAGTCTTGCTCTGCTGCCCAGGCTGGAGTGCAGTGGCATGATCTCAGCTCATTGCAACCTCTGCCTCCCAGGTTCAAGCCATTCCCCTGATTCAGCCTCGAGAGTAATTGGGACCATAGGTGCACACCACCATGCCCAGCTAATTTTTGTATTTTTAGTAGAGATGAGGTTTCACCATGTTGGCCAGGCTCGTCTCGAATTCCTGACCTCAAGTGATCTGCCTGCCTCGGCCTCCCAAAGTGCTGGGATTATGGGCATGAGCCACTGTACCCAGCCTTTTTTTTTTTTCTTTTTTAGAGACAGGATCTTGTTTTCTTGCTCAGCCTGGGATGCAGTGGTATGATCAGAGCTTGCTGCAGCCTCAAACTCCTGGGATCAAATGATCTTCCAGCCTCAGTTTCCCAAGTATCTGGGACTACAGGTACAAGCCACTGTACCTAGCTTATCCCCTATCTGTATTTTCATAGCCCTTAACCAATGTCTCTTCATCCCCTCCATTCCCCTTCCCTTCCTAGCCTCTGGTAACCAGCATTCTACTCTCTACCTCTGTGAGATCCACTTATTTTTGCTCCACATATGAGTATGAACATGTGATATTTGTCTTTCTTGCCTGGCTTATTTCACTTAACATAATGACCTTCACTGCTAGGTATACATCCAAATGAAAGGAAATCAGTATATTCAAGAGATATCTGTATTCCCATATTTATTGCAGCATTCATCACAATAGCTAAGATGTGAAAACAACCTAGTGGCTATCAATGAATGCATGGATTAAAGAAATTTTGGTATAGCTACACAATGGAATATTAGCCATAAAAAAGAATGAGATCCTGTCATCTGTAGCAACGTGGATGGAATGGGAGGCAATACTACCATGCTAAAAAATTTTATCCCAACAATATATATATATATATCCCAACAATATAATAAATTTGCTCAAAATGACCTTTACTATTATAGTTAGAATTATATTCATTAGTAAGAGTGAAAATGAAAATTAATTAAGAATGAAAATACATTTGGTTGACAAGGCTCCTTTAAAATGAGAATTTAAAAATATTTCATATGAAATAAAAAACTTTGATTTAGACTGAAAAATAAAATGTCAATTCAATCTGTTATCTTTTCTTGGTTTAATGTAATGAGAAAGGGTATATAACATCAAAACACTTTTTCTTTAAAAAAACCATGATAGGGTCCATTTATTTAAAAGATATAGTCCTTTGAGAAAAGAGAGGGATAAATAGGAGTTTCCATGGGTCTTAGTATTTTAAAATTTATCTCAAGTGTTACTGCTTCCTCCTTTTCTTTGAAGTTGGAAGCATTGGTGGCTTATGGGAAACTCTTTCTCTTAATTAAATTGATAGCTACATTTCCATAATTTTTGGTGGGAGAGGAGGACTAAAACTCTTAGACTTACCAGTAGTCATCTCCAGCCATACATTTCTCATAAACAGGGCCATCCAGCTCTTTAGCATCTGGGAAAATAGTCTCATGGTGTATGATGATGGTTTTAATAATTTCATTCACATGTGCCTGGCAAGACACTTGATCCTGTATTTCTGGGACAGGCATCAATGTTGGGCCAAAGCAAATGGCCAGGTTATAAGGGTCCATCATATTCTCATCGCTGTACTGTGATAGACTACAAAAGGAAACAAGAAAGGAGTTATAAAAGAACAAAGAAAAAAAGGATATAATGTTTAATAATAAGCTTCTTCAACTTTAAGTTGGCTCAGCAAACTCCAAAGAAAGTGAAATGACTTAAGACCTTAACTAAGTAGAAACTGAGAGGGGACTCTAAATCCTATTTGCTTACTTAAGTAGCATTTTTCAAAATCAGGAGGGGGTTTAATACAATATTCACTACAGTGGAGACCAGGATCACGTAAATGAGTTTTATTTGTAAATGTGATGGTCAGGCTCTAAATGCTCCTCAAGGAAATTTGGGATACAGAGTAAGGATTTCCATAAAGCTTTATGGATGTCTTTAAAATGGTTCTCCCACCACTCAAATATATCTCAGGTTGTTAGTTTTCTCCTATAAATCTTGGGGAAAGCCTAGGAGAGAACAATGAACTTTTTCTTTGTAACTACTAATAGAAGCAAATAACTCCAGGCTTTATAATTTGCTTTTGGGTAAGACAATCAACAGTAGGTGACAACCATTGTCACAAAAGCCAATATAAATACAAGAAAAGGGGAAAGGAATCCTCAATTCTCTTATTCCATGCAAAGCTTGGAAACTGTGGGGGAGATTTCCAATTGTCTAGTACCAATTTCTACATTCTACACTGTGAAATATTTTCACAGTGACACAAAATAAGCCAGCTCTTTATTGCTATGCTCCCTGTTCTAGGGAGACTTTAGATATGTTATCTTTCAGAGTATAGAATGTCAATCTTGAAAGGAAATGTAAAATCCAGGTGAACATATGACAAATGGAAGGAGAAAAAGGAGACTCAATAACCTTTGTGAGATGATGACAGACACAACGAAATTGAGATACCATATGATATGATACTTTACCCTTTTTTTTGAAATAAGATAGTCTAGATAGTAGAAAATACAAAAGCATAATTTCCAGAGCTAACATGTCTTTCCCTTCTGCCATTTCTCAAACATACAATATTTGTAAAAAAAAATCACAACAACAGTAAATGATCATGTTTCAGATCATCTTGAAAATGAATGAATCTTGAAAGTGGAGATTCCGAATAAGAATGGTCTAATTTCCAAAAGACATACTTTAGCTCAGTGGAGAGAGTCACAGTTAATCTTTCTGAGTCTTTAGTGCCGGCTTGCAAACAAAAACTTGATGTAAAAATGTTATTTCCAAGTTTTGATTTTGCAGCAAAAAATTATAGTGAACCTCTCTTTTCATAATCCCCATCCCAAGCATCCTGCCCTAGAGGGTAGGCTCTTTTGTCAGCATGAAGGCAGGTGCAACCAGCCAGGGGGCCTCTGGGCAAAACCACTGGAAGCAATGCCGGCAATGCCCATGGTGCATTTGCCATGCATGATGAGTTAGGTTCAGGTTTTGAGAACTTTCTTAATTAACAGACTGCTTTCCTAGTCCATTACAGATTATTAGTTCACAGTGAATTTTGTTCGGGTGTGTTAGGACGATTTGGTAGAAATGGTATAGTGAGGGTCAGTAGGAAGGCAAGGTACTCCATCCTGGGGGACGGTGGTGGTGGTGTGGGCGACAAGCAAGCCTCTGGATTTTTAAAACTGCCTGGGTGACTGTGTTTATTTAAAGGTACAAATGTACAGAGTCTAGCCGAAACATAGTTTAAACCCATCTCTCTAGATACTGCTTATTTCCAGGGGTGATTAATGTACCAATGGGTTCCCACTGTCATTTGTGAATGTTTTAGGCACCACAGGTCAGCAGTAGAGTCTCATTCTGTATGGTTCTCTGCCAACATTTCCCTATTGTATGATACTTGGCTCTTGGAGTCAAGCTGAGTGGATATGAGTCAGGGCTAGTCAGTGGGATTGTAATAAATCACCAGGGCTTTTGAGAATTCCAAATGTCCCATGAAATAGAGAAAAGAAAATACCCATATTTTAGGAAAGGAAAATCCATGCTATGAGAAGGCATTTCCCCAAGTTTATTCAATAAGTTGATTCCCCCTGCATTTCTTTATTTCCAGCTGCTTAACTGAAATGTTAAAGCAAGGGGACTCTTAGATGGACTTGGGGAGGCTGTTCTTATAACAGAACCCAAACAGCAGGAAGTAGCATGGCTGAAAAATCAAGTGGCTGAAATTAAAAGAATAAAGTTCTTTGAAAATAATGCAGTAATTTAAAAGATTTGTTACTTTGTTTAAGAGAACATTTTGAAGTATTTTCTTCTTGATAAGGTCTTATTACAGTGAATTTTCAGGAATTCTTTTTTGGATCTGTGTACAATTCCCATCCCTGATTTTCTTCCATCCCCGACTACAACATTAAAAATCACAAAAATTTTCTGCAATGGACAGCCAGTTTACATCATTTTGACAAAAACATTCATGACAGTTTTGGATGGAAGTTGGAAAAACACTGAATAACACTTTTCACTTAAAAGTGTGTGTGTGTGTGTTTTTTAAAGTAATATTTAAATATTTTTGCATTTGTGGTCACAGTTTAGGCTAGGGCTTTCATCTATCGATGACCTTGATTTGCTGGAAAAATGTACCTTCACAGTCTATATTCAATCATTTTTCTCTTTGACTCTACTGATAAATGGAACCCAATGTACACTTTACAGGATCCATGAACAAAGACAGAATTCAGATGGGCCTTTTGTCAGAGAATTCAGGTACTTACTGATTGAGGAAGGCAAAGAGGTACCTCATCACTATAAGGATGGACCTGGGCAAAGTCAGGAGGAGTTTGCGGATGTGAAGCGCCCTCTCATAGAGATTATCTATTCCTACAGATAGAAGATGACATGGTCAGAGTCCTTTCACTTGCCACATTTAAAGCAGAACATTGCAGTACATGTATTACTGATACACATCTGAATATAAGCAACACCTTGCTCTTGTGTGAGATACAACTGTAACCAAAACAGTGAATAAATGATCAGCTTGGGTATACCACCATTTCAGAGGGCATCTCCTCTGACACTCACCATTTTCTCTGATTTTCATGGACTTAGCTTTGAGTAATTTAGAGTCTTGTAGATTTAAAAACTATTTTTTTCCTTTGCTGCTAATTCGAAATTTTGCATCTGATATGATTTCAACTCCTCTTGCTGCAGGCTAACCAAAGTAGCTTTCTGGGGCATGGCACCTCTCCTCCAACCGTTATGCATTAATTCATCATATATTTGTCTATTACTATGATCCAGGCAATGTGCCAGGTTTAGAATCTCTCTCAAAATTGTCACTGCATTTTGCTTATATGACTTTTTATCTTGTATTATACTATCCCATCAATATTAGGAGAGCCTACCAGGTTTCAATCACTAAGAATACGTTAGCAATACAATTCCTGCCTTCACACGATGTATGCCCTGATGTTTATCCCGTCTTCCCTGTAGGATGCTGAGCTCCCTCAGGAAAGGATTACACCGTATTATGCTACCTCTTTACCAGGAATACAAAGTATCCAAAGCATCTCAATACTAACGTGCTTGTGAACATCAGCAAAAAAGGCTACTACTACTACATTATTTGTATAATTCTCTATATATTGTAAAACACATTTTCACATTTGCTATCTAACTCAAAGGGAACAATAAACTGCAGTAGGCAGGGCACACCCTGTCATCCCCTTTTATCAGATTAGGAAAATGATAACTGGGCAAGTGTCTTACCCAAGGCCGGCAGGCTAGAAGGGGTACAGCTGGGACTACAGCCTGTTTCCTGCTTCCTAAGTCTGGTTTCATAAGTCTGTTTTCAGTTTCATAAGTATGGTTGCCTTTCTTGGATCCCAAGACTACAACTTTGGAAAGTTGTATCTTTACAAAATACAACTTTGAAGATACCCAATAAGCATACATTTGAGAAAATATTTCCAAAAAAGTAGTAAGTTTGAAAACATTTCTGAAGCTTCCTATACTTTTATATCACTATATTGTTCTTAATTGCTCTTGAGATATTCATGCATCCCACTTGAAAATTCTCAGTCCACAGCTTCTGACACCATAGTCAAATCATTCTCCTCATTATTACTGTTGTTTTTAAAACCTTCCACCCACAAATGTGGATAACTCTCAGATTTCTACCTGGTTCTCCTCAATGGCAACCTCATCCAGTTTCAAGGTTACAAATACCACTTTTAAGATGATATTTTTGCCTCATTTTTCTCCCTTGAATGGGAAAGAAGTCCTGTAGTTTCCACTTCTAGATATCTCACTGCTTATTTTCTAATTATTATTAGAAGTCTTTATTATTTCTAACTTAGACCATCAAAATACTCTTCTAACTCAGTTTCCCTTTCCAATTGCTTTTGTATCAGTGGTTCTCAACCTTGACTTGGATTCACTTGGGGAGATTAAAAATGCTGATGCCTGAGATTCTTTTACGCAGCCAGGGTTGAGAACCACCGTCTTAATTACTTATTCCAAGCTCATTTCCCCGGAATCTTGAGTGCTGACCCCAGCTGTTTTCCACTTATTATCAACTGCGCATTTTATTTCCCCTTTTGCATAGCTGAAAAGGTGTAAAAAATCTATTAGGAATATTCTTGATTAACCAAGAATGAGTTGACAAAACAAGCAGTAATATATCAGGATTTGGGGGGGGAGCAGGGGGGAACACTTCCATTTCCCCCTTTAAGTATGACAAAGTGGGAAATGTAGCTCTGTCATTTTTTTAGCAAATGACATTTCAAAAACTCTTGAACCAGAATGTAAGTAAAACATTATCGTGCAATTAACATTCTTGTAACATTCTTATTCTTTCAATATAAACCTATAATTTATAATAGTGTGACCTTTTTATTTGTAAAATATTTCAAAATGGAAAAAATATAATGCTCTGAACAAGGCAGATTAGGGTTACATCTATTGCATACAAGCATTTTGCTTAACATACTTTCCAGGTAATGGTCTTGATTTTTTTTTCCCCCTGAAAAGAGGGAATCAGATACTCAAAAAAGAAGTTATTCAACAGGTGTATAAATTCTCTCAGGCCACAGTAACTCAATACTTAAGTTATCAACATTTCCACCCAATTCAGTCCTAGTAGGATCAAGACATGTCCGAGAGTAAGCTATTTATCTCCATGACAACATCAGGTGATATGTGCAAAACTACATTGTACAGAGAGGGAAGATGAAATGCCTACAGATGAAGCAATTTGCAAGTTACTGAGAACTTAATGGGGGGAATTTTATACCTTTAAATACTATTTAGACACAGCTGCATTATTCTCTCATATTAGAAATTAACTGGTTGAATGTTTATTATGTAAAATATCTGATTTTAGAAAAAGTGTAATGTTGTTGCTGCTTTAAGTTAAAGTGGACGAAGATGATTTAGCATCCCTGTAACTAGAAAGTCTATCTCTAAATATGAAAAAGAAAAAAACCCTTCAAAAGTGAAATCATACATATTATAATTTATTCTTAAGACAAAAACAAAACTTCTCCCACTGTTTATTGAGGATCTTGGGTGTTTCAAAAGTGAAGTTTCCTAATTCTCCAAGCAAATCCTCATTTTAAAGTTAAAGTCGAGGCTAAGGTGAGAGAATTGCTTGAGCCCAGGTGTTTAAGGCTCCAGTGAGCGATGATCACACCACTGCACTCTAGTCTGGGCAACAGAACAATACGTCATCTCTAAAAAAATAATCATAAAGTTAGTCTCAACTATCAGGGACAGGATTTTTGTAGCTTAAGGCTAGTTTTGAAGTCCTAGAGTTACAAACAAAAGGAGGCCAAGTGTGTGAAGATGGCCAAGAGGAGGCAACTCTGGAGTGTAGCTCCCAGCAAGTGAGATGCAGAGGGCTAGAGGACTCCACGATTCCAAGTGAGGTGCTGGGATTTGTTTCAGTGGGACTGGCAGGACAGTGAAAATAGCCCAGGGAAGGCGAGCCGAGGCAGGGTGAGAGCAGCCCAGGGAGGGCAAACTGAGACAGGGCGGGGAGCGTCCCCATCTGGAAAGTGCAGCTGGCTTGGAGGGTTGGGGACTTCACCCCTTCACCCCCTCGGTGCTCCGATTCAGATCCTGTGCTTCCCTCATCCCTCCTGCAACCCATGGTCCACGAGAGCCCCACCAGACTGAGGGGCCCCGTGGGTTGTCGATGCAAATCTGAGTGATGGCTCCAGCCCGCCTGGCACTGCAAGTTGTTGGCATGAACCTGGGTGGAAGTTTGGACTAACACCAGTGGGACAGAACTATCCGTCCCACAGAAAGAGGCAGAGGTGAAGGCAGGGAATACGGTCTGGCAGGTCTCACCCAGACAAAACTGAAAAACTGAAGCCCTTGTGCTAGAGAGTTTTGCAGTGAATATACCAGTTTGACTTTGACAGGGAAGATAGAGCTTGGGGAGAAGAATATCCAGCTTGGGGAGGGAAAGATGCCTGCCATTAGGAAGGCGGGGCTAATCTCACCTGCGTAAACAAACTCCCAGGGAAGACCACCCAGCAGTCTGACTGAATCTGAGGCAGCCCAGCAGCACCTCTACAGGCCAAAACCACCCCCCCAAAAACAAAAACAAAAAAATCTCATACAGGAGATACAGTTCCAACCTCAAGAGAATGGACGTCCACTCAAAGAGATTCCTCCCGAAATCACCAACTTCAAAGATCAAAGGAAGATAAATCCATGAAGATGGGAAGAAACCAGCATAAAAAGGATGAAACCATCAAAGACCAGAACACCTCTTCTCCTCCAAGGGATCAAAACTCATTACCATCAAGGAAACAAAAGAAGACAGAGAATGAGTTTGACGAATTGACAGAAGCAGGCTTCAGAAGGTGGGTAATAACAACTTCTCTGAGTTAAATGAACATGTTCTAACCTAATGCAAAGAAACTAAAAACGTTGAAAAAAGGTTAGATGAAATGCTAACTAGAATAACCAGCTTAGAGAAGAATAATAAACGACTTGATGGAGCTGAAAAACACAGCACAAGAACTAAGTGAGGCATACACAAGTTTTAACAGCTGAATCGATCAAGCAGAAGAAAGGATATCAGAGATTAAAGATCAAATTAATGAAATAAAATGAGAAGGCAAGATTAGAGAAAAAAGAGTGAAAAGAAATAACAAAGCCTCTAAGAACTATAGGATTATGTGAAAAGACCTAATCTACGCTTGATCGGCATACCTGAATGTGATGGGGAGAATGAATCCAAGTTGGAAAACACTCTTCAGGATATTATCCAGGAGAACTCCCCAACCTAACAAGGCAGGCCAACATTCAAATCCAGGAAATACAGAGAACACCACAAAGATACTCCTCAAGAAGAGCAACCCCAAGGCATATAATAATCAGATTCACCAGAGTTGAAATGAAGGAAAAAGTCCTAAGAGCAGCCAGATTGAAAGGTCGAGTCACCCACAAATGAAAGACCATCTGACTTACAGCAGATCTCTTGGCAGAAACCCTACAAGCTAGAAGGGAGTGGGGGCCAATATTCAACATCCTTAAAGAAAACAACTTTCAACCAAGAATTTCATATCTGGCCAAACTAACTTTCATAAGTGAAGGAGAAATAAAATCCTCTATAGACAAGCAATTGCTGAGAGATTTCGTCACCACCAGACCTGTCTTACAAGAGCTCCTGAAGGAAGCACTAAACATGGAAAAGAACAACCAGTACCAGCCACTGGAAAAATGTACCCAACGGTAAAGACTAATGATGCAATGAAGACACTGAGTCAAAACAACGGGCAAAACAATGGCAGGATTAAATTCAAATGTTACAATATTAACGTTGAATGTAAATGGCCTAAATGCCCCAATCAAAATACACATACTGG